CAGGCTGGGAGAGTTGGGGGGTTCAGCTGGAGGAGAGAAGGCTCCGGGGAGACCTTAGAGCGGCCCCCCAGGGCTGAAAGGGGCTGCAGGAAAGGGGGGGGGGACAGGACTCTGGATCAGGGGGGGAGGGATAGGACGAGGGGGCAGGGGTTTAACCTGAGAGAGGGGAGATTGAGGTGAGATCTAAGGCAGAAATTCTCCCCTGGGAGGGGGGTGAGGCCCTGGCACAGGTTGCCCAGAGAAGCTGGGGCTGCCCCCTCCCTGGAAGGGTTCAAGGCCACGTTGGGCAACCTGGGCTGGTGGCAGGTGGCCCTTCCCGGGGCAGGGGGGTGGCACTGGATGGGCTGTAAGGTCCCTCCCAACCCAAACCACTCTATGATGATTCGATGATCCCCAAATTGAGCTACTCATGAAGTTCCCCACCGAGGTACCTACGTTGGCGTAGAACTCGTCGTTCTCAGCAGACAGAACGACCTCTCGGAGGTCCTTGCTTATCCCCGGGACCCGAGAGAGGTCGATGCGGTTGTTGTTAATCCCCAGCAATTCGTGAACCATAGCCTGGTATGTCCACTGACGAGGATGGTGAAAGAGAAAGGCAAACGATGACCTTAGATCATAAACAGCATTGGAAAATTCACAGATTTCAGGCTGAACTCAATGCAAGCCAGCTTATATTCCTCTGGGAACACACAGCGCAGCCTAAGCGTGCATTTCTCAAACTTTCGCCAGAATTTTACTGTAAGAAAGAAATATTCCTTCTGTTCCAATCAAACAGGCATCCCACGGTGAGAGGTGCTGGTGCAAACACGAAGGAAAAGCCCCCTCCCCTGTTCCCGGGTCTCACTGTAGGGCGGTTCAAAAGACACGGCTCAAAGCAGAGCGATGGGGATTCCCATCCCCGTTCCCTCCGTGATCTCCCCCTCCTCTGCCTGGCAAGGGACGCGTGCTTTGGGCTGCAGAGGTTCCACAGTTACCAATCTCCAACACGCTCACTTGTTCCTTACGCAGGGGTAGGGGTGTGTGTGTGTCTGCCCATCAGCGAGTTACTGTATTTATCCTGGGAAGACTCATATTAATCTAGAGAACTGAAAGCTGCTCAGAGAACTGACGCTCATCTGGATCTCTCTTTTGGACAGAAAATCTCTGCAGAGCGGAAATGCTTTTGGTGCCCTTTGCTGCGGGCAGTCCCGAGCCCCACAAACCACCCACGAGCTGCGTTTCTGACTGCGATCCCTCCAACACTACGAGCAGCACTGGCCCCTACGCCACGTGCGCTCCAGAGCTGCTCCCGAGGCAGCTCCAGCCCCTGCCTGATCCCAGCCTGGCCCTGTCCAAGCCTACCCCACTGAAGGGAAAGGAGACCAACACAAAGAAAAAAAAAATTTAAAAATGACAATAACTACATAGTAAATACTACCACCCATCAGGAACACAGAGGGAGAAACACCCAAGTGCAAGGTCACTGAGGAACCACGTCCCTGTGCTGCCAACCAGCCCCCACAAACCAACCCTGGGCGAGGAGCCTGCGACGCCCAACAGCAGCGCTGGCACCTGTGGCTGCACCTGTCCCGGACGCCGGCACACACAGCCCCCCGAAAACCAGGCCGCCAGAGACAAGAGGGCTTCCAGAAGAACAGGGGGGAGGCAGTACTTCTCCCCTTTTAAATACAAACCAGGCCCTGGCAGGGGGGGGTGAACTCTGCTACTGCCACGGGCCCTCGTGTGAGGTGAGATGAGTCACCTGGTTCAGAAGCGGGGTGATGGCGTCGTCAGACCGGTCCAGAATGAGAAGGAGAGGAGGAACCTCAGTGCGTCGGAAGTCAAAGAGCTCGTACTCTTTAGTGATCACTTGCTGTGGAGAAAAGGAGGGGAAAAAAAAAAAATAGCCACTTGAGCTTATGTATCGCCAGAAAATGTTGCCTCTTGGTTTGGCTCCAACTGAATAACAAGCGAAGAGCTGGTGAAAAATAATTTGGGCTGCTATCTTAGTCTATGCTGCTAGTGAAGAAATAATTCCAGCTCTCAGAAGTAACCTACAGCACTTCATGACCCTCGCAGGAAACAGGGATCAGGCAGAGATGAGGGGCGTGACCTGCCCAGAGCCACGTAACCAAGTAAACAACAGAAAAAAAAACCTTGGAAAAGACCTTGAAGATCATCCAGTCCAACCCTAAAATGCCAGAATTTACACAAACCGACTGAAAAAGGGTTATTTCTCTCAAATGCATCGATAGGCGAAAAAAAGAAACAAAACCTAAGTACGTCACCAAACTTATTTAACGTGGGCGTAGGCGCTCACGCACCTTCACACACTCCGCAAGCCTCTTCGCTGCCTCGGACGAGAGCTGGTACCGAATCATGGGGCATTTCTTCAGGGACAGGAGCAGAGCTGTCAGCCCTTGCGTCGTCCTGGACAGCTGAGCCGGATCCCAGTTACGACCCTGGAAGGAAAAGCTGTGCTTAGTCTTGCCGGCATCATCCCCAGACTCCTCCTCACATCTCTAAGACTTTAAGATTTATTTCGAAGTCTTCAAGCCTTACAGCGAGCGACGCTTTGAAGGAGCAGGAAACCCCCCCGAGCCCCCAGCCAGGACTCCCCGGTGTTCCTGCAGGGATCAGCTCCAGCCTGATGGACCCTCAGCAGCCCTCTGCCTGCTGGGCAACCCACTGCTGACCCACGGCTTCTTGTGGCTACTGGGCTCTTTCTTAACCATAAAACAAGGCCCCCCGGAGAAGCGTTAGCTTCTTACGTACCTGGCAGCAGCCCAAGAGGTTGAGAGAAAAAACGTGCGGATTCACTGCAATGTAATCGCCGTAGAACTCCTGCCAACGAGTGAAACCAAATAGTTACGTGTCTTGTCAAGCCTCGTTCAGGCTGCAAGAGGCCCTGGTCCGGCAGCAGGCACACGAACGCTAAAACCCTGAGCCACGCAGACTCGTTGACTCTTTCCCCTTCCTCCGTGCTGGACCTCTCAAATCCCCACGGCTCCTGCTGACAGCTCTGCTGCCAATTTGTCACCTGCGTGTTTCGAGCACACGCAGCTCTTTGTCAACACCGCAACGGTGCAGCAGCCTTGGGAAACCCAGCGGGGAGCAGAACAGGCAACGGCTCTGACAGCTGGAGGGCAGGGACAAATGGGGTATTTTTTTTCTTTTACTTTCTATCATTCATTGTTTTCCCCACCCCAGGAGCGCTGCTGCTTGCTGTTTCAGAGCTGCAGAGTCCTCTCCTCACCACACCTGAGACTGTTAGCTGGCACGTTTGCTTTGCTGGTTCTTTTGGATTAGGAGATCTATTGAAAATATTCAAAATTCACCTGAACTTCAGCCACAACTTCCTGTTCATCAGCCTCAGCTAACGACTTGACGTCGCTCTTACTGATCACGTTGCTGAAATCTGAAAGGAAAACAACAGCGAAAGCACAGTCAGGCTCTGCGAGCGCCACGGAACACGCACCACCATGGAACAGGGGGAGCAGTTCCCCCGGCGCAGGAGCGGATTACACCACTGATCCCTTGACCTTACACCTGCAATTATTATGCAGACATCATAATCCAGAAGTTACCTCGCACGGATACTCTGAGCTATTCCCCGTCCAACTTTCTGCCTCTCACACACGCCTGCAGCGCTGGATCAGCGCCCAACGCTGAATAAACCCCTGGTGGGACCCGGCAGTGCTGGTCTCTCATCCTCTCCCTGGCTTAACATCGGCCCAGCAAAGCCCACACTGTGCCCAGCCTGCTTGTGGTCCGTAAATTTATGCGTGTAAAAGGCAAGAAATATGAAATGGTTGAACACGGTGACAGCCGCAGCTCGCTGGGGGCTCCCCGGCCCTTCACAACCCGGGGTCCCCTCCGGCAGCCCCCCAGCCGGCTCCCGAGCATCGCCGCGTTTCTGCGGAGCAGCAATGACATCTAGAGGCCGCTGCGGCTCCGTTTCCAAGATTCTCACCAAGCGATACCTGTGCTGGGGGACTGGACCTCAACGCAAAACCGGCTGCAGGTGTTCTGCTGCATTTTTCGAAGCTGCAAGAATACTCCGCGGCACACCCGGGTGTCAGAAGGCGCCGTGCAGCAGGTTTAGTCCAACGCTAATTTAGTCTACCCTAAATTATTTACCTCCAAGGTTTAGGCCAGTCTCTCCCCCTGCGCATCTCAGTTTTCCTTACAATAAAGAGGCCCCCAGCATTAACCATCTTTCATGTTTATGAAACAACACGAAGCTTTAAAAATTTCCAGCAATAAGCCATACTGGGGGAACGTAGATTTAAGGTGTTGCTTTGCAGCGATCTCTCATGAGCTGCTTCGATTTAGTTGTTTTATCTTATAGATACGTGCCCTTTGCTAAAAGAATGTGGTGACCTAAACAGCATAAAAACTAGAGTTTAGACGTTTTTAGGGTTTTAGCGACGGCCCGTCGGCGGGAGCGGTCGCAGCGTCTCACATCTGTATTTTCTACTGAACATCAGAGCAGTCCCCGAGGAGTCTGAGGCACGGGACGTACTTACAGATAAAATAGATGCTGTACTTCGGCCTCCGCAGCTCCTGAATGAGGAACTCCACGTTTTCCTGGAGCAAAACACCACCGGGGAGAGCCGAGACGTGAGAAACGCTGCGTCAAAAGGGCCTGGAGGGGCCAGTGGCCCCTCACTGCCCCTCAGCCCGATCCGCGGGAGGCTCCCAGCGCCCCGGGGTGAGGGGGGCGGGAAGGGGGGTGCAGGGG